GAGCCCCCAAGGCAAAAAAGAGATTTACTGGGGTAACCCTAGACCCTGTGCTAAGAATCCTGCATAAGCTTCACTAAACAAGGGGAATTAAAACTGGGTGGGAAACCTGCGCCTTTCTAAATGGATGCTGCTCAGGAGGAGACGAGGGTGCTTTTAAAAAATTACTCACTGAATCTGTGGCTCCTTCTCCTGACTTTTGACATCTCGAGGAGCTGGCAAGGTAGATCCAGCAGCTGAGAGAATATGACCAGCTCAGGAGGAGGAGGAGAATATTTTAAATATTGTTCTCCCCAAGAAGTCCCAAGGGAATTTGCAATATTAAAACAAAACAATATGAAAAGTGGGTTGTTTTTTAAAAAACAAACAAACAATAAGTTATGACAGCATTGGAAAAAAATTAAAAAGATATCAAATTAGAAACTGGTAAATAAAAACAGTTCATAGCTATTCTTTACAAAAACAACAGTGTGTTACAGCGATCCAAACAGGATTTTACTAAGACATGTTTCACTGCAGATCTAGTAACAGGCACAGCTGATGCATGAGTTTTAACTGCACAAGTGCACTCCTGACCACCCCCAAAACCTGGGCATAGAGGCTCAGGAAGAAGGCAGGAACATACCCATGCTGTAACCCTATGTTTTAGGGGCGAGTGTAATTCCATCCAGCAGATGCCGAAACTCTGCACTGTACTCTGATTTTCTTTCTGACTGACGCGATTAAGCTTCAGCCTGCAAAATTTCAAAGCTCAGCAATAGTTTAAACTGCAATCTTCCAGGTCCCAGCCTAAGACTCTTACTACGGTGTCATCATGCCTCTCACAGCGGAGTTCCCCCTCGTTATGGGCTTCCAAGGGTGAGGAGATTGAAAAGCTTCCCAGAACAGTTTCCTTAAAAGATCGGTAAAGATTGTAGGCATTTCTGCAATTTATTTATACGCGTAGGTCGGCTGATCGTAAGACAGAGACACATCATTCACGTTTTGGCTGGACAGCACATGGGAGGTGAAAGCACGTGGCCCGTTTTAAGACCCACCGGAACCCACGCTGGGGAAAAATGGTTCAAAAGAATGGCCATTCCTGGAATCCACCAGTTCTTCTCCCTTTTAAATATGCCCATCAAAAAAAGCCGAGGTGCCTGATTGGAATCAGTGTCAGAGCTGTTGAGGGCCACATTCCTTTGTGGGTGATCCGTCAGGGCCCCCTCCCCGTGCCAGCAGTGGGTGGGGCTTGAGCCAGTAGAGGGTGGAGTCAGTCCCCAAAGAAGGCGGGCCGTTTTTGTGTCTCTCCTTGTGACTGACACGTCCTTGTCTTTCTTTTTTTTTCTGATTCGCTTTTTCTTCCAGAAATCTGGACTGTATAATTTGTAGGAAAGATGGGAGGCCGTATAGCCGCTGCCCCCCACCCCCACCACCGCAGGTTGCCCACCTCTGCTCTGAAAACACAATGGCCGGAATCAGGTAGGTCTCCATAACTTGTTTTGGTGGAAATCGCAAATGAATGCTAAAACATGCGCGTGGCCTGGCTCCTTTCAGTACAGCGTCTTTACATAACCCCTTGCATCGGGAGCCTTTTAAATTCTTTTGCTTTTCTGGAGTGCTTTCATAACCTCCATTTACGGGCAGCTTGTTGTTTTTGCACACATTATGACCTCTTGTTTTTGCTATTCTGATGTGTCTAAAGGGCTCTCCAAAGCGATTTGCCTTCTTAAGCAGAATATGTATATATTTCAGCAAGGAATTCGGCTTTGGGCTACACACTTTCAGTCCAGACCTCGGACTGCTCAGCTGCCACAATGCCTTGCAAAACAAATGGAACCAGCGTTGCACCTTTGTATGTTGCAGTTGTGCCAGTTTTGACCACAACGGGTGCCGCTGTTCTTGTTATTTTTCCTTTCTGTTTTGTACCTGAACATTTTTAATGGGATTTCTTAATCAGAGGGAGTTTGTAGCCAGAATTGTATTGGCTGCCTATACTGCCACCATAAATGCAATGGCATATTACTAGTTAAGAACTTGTCACTTGTATCTCTAGTTATGCACAAAACTCGTGCAATTGGCATGCAGTTGAGATACGTGCAATGCCGTTGCTAACAATTCACTATCACAACTTACGTTATTGTACAAGAACTAAGTCGGATGTGCTCCGTTTTGTACTGGTGAATGCAGTGTTCCAAACCAAGACGGGCAAGGCATGAAGGTCTTCATAAAGCAGGCATTTCTCTCTTCTTTGGGAAATGGGCAGAGTTGATTCTTTGAAACTGAAGGTCTCGTGTTCCAATCCTGGAGAAGCTCTGCTGTTCAGCAAAATCCAAGGAGGATTTTATGGACCTCCCCCCAAGTGTTGTGAGGACCACAAGTCCCATGAGCCCTAGCAAATTTTGCAAATGGTAAAGAATTAATGGGACAAGTTCCCTGTCCTTGGCAAGTCCTCTCTGGACAAAAGGAAACCAGTAAGACTAAGCTCAACTGATAGCCTGGTAGATGCCATTTATTCTGTTCTTCAGATGAAGGGTATCAAGGTACGGTCCTGGGTTCCATCCTGGTCACCTCCAGGTTGGACTGGAGTAGACCCTGACCTGAACCCTGGAGAGAGGCTATTAGTGGGAGAAGTTGGATTAAAGGCTCAGGCACTGCAGAGCAGTGGATCCCAACCTTGAGTTCCCAGAATATACCTCAAGGACTGGGATTACAAAGCGCCTGAAAATTCCTCCACCCAAACTAATTTAAGAGCTACATGACATCCAGAGAGCACATATGAGACCATAGTTCACTGGTATATGTGTGCAGGTTGGTGTTTTTTAACTGTAACTCCTGGAATTCCCCAGGAATTTTGGGGGTCGTAATCCAAAAACACCAGTTTACCCTCTAATGCAGAGAATGGGCTTGCCACGCAGAAGGGCACCCCTGCCATCCCAAAGCTGGGCTGGAAAGGTAATTGCTCGCCAATATTTATTTAATATGCCGCCCACACTACCCAAAGGTCTCTGGGCAACCTGCATATGGATGCAGGTCGTCGCTCCAACCATCCTTGACCAGGGTGGCAGGACGTGAAGGTCCAATAATACCTAGAGGGCCTCCCAGCTCCCATGATCCCTCATCAGTGGGCTGGGCTGATCATATGACCTGTGGCCCTCCAAGTCTTTTGTTGGACTTCAGGCCTCGAAAGCCCCAGGAAGTGGAGCTACAGCCAAGAAATTCTGGAAGTTGTAGGAGAAAACATCTCAAGCTCCGAGGTTCCAGACCACCAGTACACTAAATGGACCAACTGCTTACCCCTGTACATTTCCTACCATCTCATGAAAGAATCTGGAGAGTCTACAGCTCAGGGCGAGACCATAACCTCTCCATTCATACATGTAACCCCGGTGTTTCACCAATTAAAGGCATTCTGCTGGCAAAAGTGTAGCCCAGAACTCTTGAAATTCACCATGTTCTGCTCGTTTCCCCACCCCACACAAAGAACCAAACCAGACAGCATTCTTAAATGTGTCAATTATTTTTTTTAATGTCATTGAAAAATAAAAAGGGCTTTTTTCTTCTTGTTCTGAGCAACTGCAGCTAGGAAGGGAACGTTATGTTTTCACACTCCATGAAGTGCGAGCATGTTCACACAGGTAGACTCATGCATGGGGGGGAAAGGAAGGAGAAAAAGAAAAACAGACATTCACCTCTTTTTTTGCGCATGAAGGGCAGAGTTCAGTATGAACTTGACCACTGGAGCACCCCAATCGGACCCCCAAGGCACCTCGCCACTTCCTCCCCCCTCAAATCTCAGTCAACATGGAATTACAACGACGACACCAACGTCAGTGTTTTGGTTTCTGATTTCACAAGATGGTTCTACTGAGATTTTGTACAAAGTTGTAGGCATACTTTGGATTTTGCACAGACACAAGAACCTGTTTTGTTTGCTTTTCAGAAAAAAAACAAAGGGAAACAGGGCATCTTCATTATTCCACAGCCAAAAAGAAACAGGAAAGAAGAAAAACCAACAAGAAAATGACCAAGCACCCTTCCCCACCAGCTCTGAAATATGTAACCACACACCTACGCCCTTATGATCCAAAACCAAAGTCAGTATGAATTGGCTGATACAATATCCCAGACCCATTCCCCCCCTCCCCACAGAGATGGGGAGACTCCAACTCTTCTCCCAAATTTAACTGGTATATGTAATTGCATAAAGCAACCAGGGTTTTGCTAAAGCCATTCCTCCGCCTTTAAGGGTGACCTTGCTGAACAACGAAAGCCATCTAACACTGTTCAGGTTCAAAACTAAAATCTGTAACTAAATGCTAAGGAAGCTGAAGAGGGACAATCCTCCAAATTTCGGGAACAGGAGTGCTCCGCATTTGCTTCTGCTGATTCTCACCTAGGAACTGGCAGAGGAAGGGAGAGACGTCAGCCATGAGAGATGGCCGTTTCCGAGTCAAGACAGGCAGACTGAAAACAACAACAGAGTTTACACCAAGCCACCAATTTTGGACACGACCTTGCCCAGATAACAGTGATAAGAAGCGAGCCACGATAAGGCAACGTCAACTTGAAAAGGTGATGTGGAAAGAGGCCTAGTCATCAAGGCCTGGGCTCTTGGGCCGAGGCAATGCTCTCAAACCATTAAAGCAAGCATGAGGCAGCTTCTCTTTAAAATAATCACTCAAGGGGCTTTGGTGAGGCTTGAGGACATAGGTAGGACCTAGACGGTCCCGTTTTGGAAACATGTGGCATAGATAGATATTGTAATTTTATTTTACAACTAAATAACCAGTTTTGGGCTTCTCAATTTGTGCTGGATACAGGACTAAGGGGAGGGAGCCAACTGAGCTGAGACAACTCAGAAGGCTGCCTCAAACCACCACATTTTCCTGAAAATCATAACCATACAGATAATATTAAAGGTGAGGGAGGAAGAGTATAAAAAAATATTACACCTTTGGGAACCTCATTTGGTCAAATTCCCTCCCCCTCCCCCTCGGACCCCAACTCAATTTTTATCTCTGTTAGTTTTGTTTTGCGATTTTTTTTTCCAGGAACGTTAAAACCAAAAGATATATTTCATGGAATTAAAGGTTCTATTTTTATTTATTCGATCATTTCCTCTTCCCACTTAAAGGCCATTGTTGAAGCATTTTACAGTTCTCCTAGTGCAAAAGAAAAAACAGAAATTTCTTTTTTTAAAAAAACAAAGCAGGAACCCAAAAACAGAACCAAAAAGAAAAAAGAAGAAAAAAAGATAAAAGGAGGGAAGGAAAATCTGCTGCCTTTCTTCTCCCAGGCAACCAAAATGAACAAAAAAAATTACAAACAGAATTTTAGGTGTTTTTTTTTTTAAACTGCAACATATACACATTAAATATAGTATACAGTCCATGCAGTGGCACAGCCATAGTAAAGGAAGCCGAAGCTCCCTGCCTTCAGTGCATTACAGTCCATGTTCCTCGCTCGCCGTGTCCCCCGCGGTCAACTTCACCTGCCTTCTAGCCCGACTTGAAGAGGAGAATCGCCACCTGGCCCAGATAGAAGTAAATGAAGTGCTTCGTCTCGTGCGTTACATAGCTGCCGAAATTTCTGCCCACGATGCAGTGCCAAGTGGGGTTGTACTTCTTGTCAAATTCCTAAAGGACAGAGAGAAAGCCAAGGAAGAAAAGAGAAAAGAATCCGTCATATACTGTATGCTCCTCCACAGAGGGTGGATAAATCCCAGTGTGAGGTAGCAGATAGAGCAATGGTTCCCAACCTTGGGTCCCCAGATGTTCTTGGACTAAAACTCCCAGAAGCCTTCACCTCTAGCTGTGCTGGCCAAGATTTCTGGGAGTTGTAGTCCAAGAATATCTGGGGACTCAAAGTTCTGAAGCACTGGGATAGAAGAACAGACTACAATTCCTTGCTGGTCCTTGACCATAATAAAGTCATCTTATCCTAGACAACAATGCAGGGACCTGGGTTTGAATCCCTGCTTGGCCATGGAAACTCCCTCGGGGTAACATGCGTAAGACTATTCCTCAAGCATCTCACGCACATCAGAAATCTTATTTAGATTGCCATAACTTGAACAAGTCCTAGCAGTGTCTAAGAAACAGAGGACTTTTACTGGAAAGGCAGACAAATAGGCTACAACTCCCATCATGCATGACCACTGGCTGTAGGCAACAATGATGGGAGTGGGAGTCCAGAAATGTCTGAAGGGCCACACACTACCAATTCCACTTTACAGAGTGCCACAACAAACGGACCCTACCCTATGGAGATTACAGTCCAGGGGAAATGAGGCAGAAGAGAAAGGGTTTCCCCATTTCAGAGACTACCCAGTTATGTTACAGCACACTATAAAAATAGGTTGGCCGAGCTTCTTCCAGCCGAGTCCAACTTCCATTTATAAACATCTTTGCAGAATACACAAGCAAGGCACCAAAACATGGCCTTTTCCAGTCTGGTCTGTGCCATCCTGCCTCTGCACGTGGGACACTGTTAAAGCCAAAATTCAGTGACATTCTGTGTTCCTTTATCTCTAACCCTATAGTTGATCATCTTAATTGGGTAACTTCAGCTCTCCAAAATCTAGTAACCGAAGAGGAGCAGCACATGACCATCCACCTGCCACCAATATTTAAAGACTGACACAAGCACGGAGATCTATTATGCTAACTTTTCATACAACCTGCCACTATCCTGATCAAAGGCTGAGGGATTTGTCGAGCTGGACCCCATAGAAGAGCGGCCCTGTACAAGCCGCTCTTCCTTCAAACGGGATGGAGAAGTCCAAAGGCCTATTTCCAGATGTCCTTGTGGGCCCGCTCCTTCCATAAGTGTCCAGAACCAGAAATAACCAGAACTCATTTCAGGTTTCAGACCCCAGTTTGATGGCAGTGGCGGCTTTTTTTTTCTTTTTTCTTTTTGCCAAAGAAACAGTGGGACAGGAATAATATAACCTGGGATCTTATGAAACATGGTAAAGCACACCTGAGTATTTATCCTCTACCCATAGAACCCTGAAAAGGTTCGCCATAAGTCAGAATTGACTTGACGGTACCTGTTTATTGAAAAACACCTTGTAACACATGCATGAATCTGTCCCTACGTTTGGTCCAAGGATCAGGATTTACACCCCTGGCTCCAGGACATCCCAGAAATCTCAGATGGTGGGTTATGAGATAATGTGACAGCAGAGGACACCACCTTCTTGGTCTGATCAAGCACGACTCTCCTTATGATGCTGTTCCCAATACCTTTTTAATGTACGCTGCTATGTCCTTCTCTATGTTGTACTTTTCCATGGCCTGCGTGGCACAGTCAACTGCATCCTGCTGCATGTCCTCGGACATGTCCGCATTCTTGATCACAGCCTTCCTGTCAGACATGATGGACCTGGAAAAAAAAACAAGGCGGAGGTCAAAGGACAGAACAAGCTGACTACCGCACAGACTGGTCTTCCAAGAACGCTTCCACTCTCATGAAGTATCTAAAACAAGGTCACTCGCCACTTCTCTTTCCTAGAATTCTGCTTCTGAAGACTTCTTGGAGGTTCAGAGTGATCTCTTATATTTCTTTAAAGCAAAGCCACTGTTCCAAGAACCCTCAGTGAGAGGCAATTGGCATTTTTTTTTCACTTTAATGTTTTTTTGGCCATAAGAATGCAGGTGGTGGATTTCCCAAGGGCCATGAAAAAGGATTTGCAGCCACATATAGCCTGGAAGCAAGAGTCACATTCTGCCAGCTTCTGATTTAGAGCCCTTGCTCTGGATCAGAGGTGAAGCAAGTGCAGGTTACATACAAACCTCCCAATTTTTTTAACACATCATTCAAATCCCCCACTGCCTCATAAATGAAACCGAGATTATTGCCCACAAAACATTTGCACTGAGCTTGATCATCATGGTGGTGGGAAAGGAGGCTGGCAGTCCCACGTTAAGAACCTGGCAAAGCTAGCTACGTGGGCTTCTGAGGGACATGATGCTTGCTAAATGCACACTGGGTGGGTAAAATGTGGCCCTCCAGATATTGCTGGACAACAACTGTCAGCATTGCTCACCACTGATTATGGCTAATAGGAGATGCAGTCATGCAATATTTGGAAATTCCACCTTGCCTGCCCACCCCCTACTTGGGTAGATAAACTTGAGGTTGCCATTTGGTTGTAGGGCTTTAGAAACAATTGCCAGAAGCTGTAATTCTAAAGGTTTTCCATGCCCACACTTCCTTGCACAATCACCACCCACTGAAATAACTTGGCCATGGACGTCTTTCTTCATAAATAGTAGCTTAACGGGCCCCGCATAACTGTTTACCCACACACATTCATGGAGACAGAGTCTTCCTACTCAGCTGCCTTAAAAACCACCAGCGCAGGCGTGCAAAGATCTTGATCCACATATCTAGTTATTAAATGTGCAGGCTGCATAATTAAATTATAAATCGCCCAGAGAGTGCTTTAAGTACTACGGGGTGGTATATAATCAGAAAAGTTTGGTTTATGGAGAAGGCAGGATATACTAAGCTGGGCACTTCCATTTTCAAAAGGATCAAAACCATTTTTTAAGACAGCTTAACCACATCCCATCTGGTAGCTTTTGGAACCATTTGTGAGGGGCCTAAGAGACCATCCCAACAGTAACTTCATCATGGTCACACAGCTACAATGCCAGGATCTTTCTGGAGCAAAAGCCATGACAATTCAGCTACCCTTGTTGATAAAAGTTCCTAGTCCACATGTTTTACACAAGCTCTGCCAGCTGTTGGGCATTAATGCAGTTCACTCTTAGTACATCAAGTGGACATCACAAAGGCTCACTTGGAAATGCTTCTAATCATCATGGACCAGTAAACATTTCAATATGGTGCTAAAAAGATCAAACATCAGTTTGCAACTCAAAGAGTTCAGAGATTTGTTTGCACCACCTACAAGACCTACAAGGCTGCAGCATTCAGAATTTTTTAGGCAATCCATACCTAACATGAAATAAATTTTGCATCTGTAGCGTGGAATGCGCTTTCCACACACAAACAACATGCAAGTTAAGAATAAAGTTGCAAAGTTTATTTGGAATATTCCACCCACCCACCAAGGTTTTCCCACCCTGGAGGAATTTATACTCCCTTGGCCAAGGTCCTCCACCTAATCCCATGCACTCACTGGCCTTGCTCCACCTGATACATGGGGCTACAACCCCCATTATCTCCAGAACAAGCAGCCAGGCTGCCCTACAGAACTGATGAATATCCCAAGGAATTCTACATGATGTTTCTGTCATGTCCAGGATAGTAATTAAACTGGCCGTTTGCAAAGAGAACAAAAAACAGAGCCACGAGTCTCTCTAGAAGAGGAGCAGGAAAGCTATAAGCATCTGGGAGCCATTTTTACCTTCCTCACACACTAGAAGGTCAATCACCCCATTCCCCAAAAGAAACCTAGTGCTCACAATTCAAACTGTGGCCCTCAGAGACCTCCACAGGAACAATTCACACTACATACCCAGTCCGGTTGACCTCAGTTGCTTTTACATACCCAGTCCGGTTGACCTCAGTTGCTAATCCACCTCCAAGGGGCACAACAGAGCTTTGAACTCTCAGACCACCACCCCCGCTCTGCAGCCGGACACTATAACCCTTCCCTCTGCTTTGTCGATCTGCGTTGCTGTGACAAAACTTTAGACCCCATCTTTTCAGGAAAACTGAACCCCCCTTCGGTGCACTGCAACCATTCAATTAGCTTTGGTGATGAGCAACAGTCATCCAACAGCAAAACGCTGTTTTGCATTCAGATGCTTCCAATCCCAACTCTCTGGTAACTGATGAAAACCAAAGGATAGCATCCAGAGGCAGTGAAGAGCAGTTCACTACCAGTCCAGAAAACACCACACTGGCTAAGATCTTCCAAAGCTTTGCAATGGTAGTCTCCTTCCTATATCACTAGCCAAAAGATGGTTGGGGCATCACCACCAGGAAAACTAGGAGGTAGCCAAGAAAGAATGGATAATGATAATGTTCCTTCAGCAAAACCAAAAGAGAGGAAAAAAATAATACCACTATTGGACCGCTAAATGTAAAAAACAGGCAGCTCCTAAATCGTGGCTATTTTTGATACTTGGTAGCCCAAGAAAGGTATTATCTACCTTTTATTTCTGAAGGTCTGGATTTACGTACAGCTAAAGCCAAGACTTGGCATGATTAAAAGTCGGAGGTTTCCTGTAAAATAAATTGGATGCAGTAAGCCATTCCCATCTCTTGGCCTTGTCCCAGAGAGGGACTGAAGGAACAGCTTTGTTGCAGGCATAAAAGCTTGCCATGTAAAAAAAAAGAGAGAGAGAGGAGGGAACCACCCGTTACATAATAGCGAGGGCCAAGGTTAGAATTGTCAATCCTTCCCTCTTTTTTTTTCATTGTGATACTGTATCAAGACTGATTTCCCCCAAAAAAAAAAGAGAGGAGGGAACCACCCGTTACATAATAGCGAGGGCCAAGGTTACAATTGTCAATCCTTCCCTCTCTTTTTTTTCCTTGTGATATCAAGACTAATTCCCCCCCCCCAATCCTCTGTATATTTAAAATATTAACGTTGTTGCATTTATAGCGTGGGCTGCTACATTCCCGGAAACTGATACCAAGATTTCCACATTTGCTTCCTCCATTAAACCTGTTACAGTAAAGCCCTTGGAAACCACTGGCACTTTGGCCTCCATTTCTTTAGCGTCCAGTGTTCCCATTTCACAGATGGGCCCAAATGAGGTCTACTTTCAATGCGCTGCAATGGCCAAAAGACCCCCACCACCTCCTCCCAAATTAGAAACACTATAGAAGAATCCCTTCCCCAATATCCTACCATATTCTTATTTGGTTTTTTCTTCTTCTTTAATAGGCCACCTAGGACTAAACAAATAGCCAACAGAAACTAGGGTAGAACTAAATAAATTGAAGGCATTTTATTTCCCAGTGAAATGCCAAGGGCAGGCAGCACATTTAACCCTATTTTGATAAGAACCCCTTCCCACGTTCACTATTTTCCACCTCAAAACAGAAACTGCTTGCATTTTACTGAAGCTGGGAAACTGCTTTATGCAGAGCCACATCATGGGAGCTGATGGGAATTGAACCTGATGCCTTCTGCTTGCAAAGCACATTTTTTTGCCCTTCACCTACACCCTCCTCTTCAAAATAAAACAGAGCTGGATTTGAGGTACCCTGTTGCCGTAATCCAGGAACTGCTGAACGCAAAACCCAGCAGATGACCTGGAACAGAACAAGGAAACTTGGGTGCGCCTGATGATCTGGACTCACCTCCCCGAAGGCCTAGTCACCATGACTAGTGGCAAGGGATTGTGGGTATTGTAGTTCCCCTCCCCCCCCCAAAAAAACCCAGGGAGGGGCAGTTTTTCCCACTCCATCCTCCACCAACAACCTAACTTTTCAGCAGCTTTTTGGACTCCAGTATGGAACCTGTTAATTCCAGCCCAATGATGAACTCAAATCAGATGGAGCATGGGGATTTAAACATCTCCTGTTGACTTCGCGAAGCTTCCACCCTTACCACTTTAGAACATAAATAACTGTATGCCAGGAAATAACCTCTTACAGGCATACACTGCTTTCATGCTGTGTTGCGGCATGCAATAGCTGCTGGAAAAGAACCAGCCTTTCTGATCCATTATAGCATAAACTTCAGAGATGACCAAAGAAAGCTCAGCTGATAGCCTCATCGCTCAAGAGAGGGAGATGTATCTTTTTTCCTCCCTGCAGTTGCACCTGAACTATCAATTTCCCTTCCACCTCCTCCTGGCTCCACACCTTATTGTCTTTCCAACAGGTTGCCTACAGTATATGATATGATCAGGCATCCGGACCATTAAAAATAGCAGCAACGTTAGGATTTTCGTTCCATCTTCCTCCCAAAGACGGGACTTTTGATGCACAGTTTATTTTGGATTAACAAAATAAGAATAACAATTGATACATATGAAGGCTGTCAAGTGTTCCAGTAAAGGGGGCATAGTCAGAGGTATGTCTGCATCACAATGGATCAACTGATTTTTTTTTTAGTACTTTTGCAAAAAGAAGGATCCACAGTATGGAACTTTTAAAGATGGTTTGTTCATATTTTGAGTATTGTAATTTTCTTGTACATAGTTTCGGGGACCCTGGGAGATAGAGAAAGAAACTTACTAATACTTCAATAGATATAAAGTCATAATCCTCTAAAGAGGATTCAATCATTGGTGTTTTTTCCCCTATACTTTGCTCTCTTCTTTGCTGTTCTGCAGTAACTGTAACCAAGAATTTTAATAAGCATGAGCTGAAATGCTAAAGGTGGCTGGAAAAGGGGGGGGGGAGGGAGAGGAAGCGGCTTCTGCAATATTTAGTAGGCCAGCTATGGAGAGGAAGGGGATTCTAAACTCTACCAGGACACGGCAGCGTGACTAAATTTGAGGAAAGTTACTGTTCTGGACAGAGAAGCGGACACCTAGGAGGTCTATGCTGGCTCCTGGAAACTGAAGTAAATAACCAGTAACTTTTCCAACCTCTGGGCATGACTTAGCTTGTCCCTGAAGGTCAGTGTAGCCAAAAGGGGACGTGTGCGTGCCACAGGAATTTTCTCAGAAGGTAGGAAGCCTAAAATTGCACCTTCCCAACCTGTTCTACCAAAGGGGAGAAAACCCCCACTGTACATAGGTGAAAGATGCTTTCCCTTCTTGCTTTTGGCTAGGATGTTTCACTGCCCTCAAAAGCAATTTAAGGGGAATTACTTTGTCAGTCCCCTGCCCCCCCCCAAAAAAACAACAACACAGTAGTGTGCAAGCTTTTGGAAATCCCCAGACTCCAGGCAAGGTGTTGCCAGAGGTGTGGGAAGGGGTGAGAAACAAGGGAAGGTGGGAAGATCTCAAAATCACTTGGCCCCTTTCCAGCCCCTGCTGTGTCATCCATCGCAACTTTGGCTCTACATCAACTGTAGCTTCCTCTGCATTTGTCCTTAGGGCTGTTTCAACCTGGCTGAGAGGCGGCGTCCCCTTCAGCCAATCTGGGAGGAAAGGATGGCAGAAATATTTTAGGGAACCCACCCGCAGAAGTACCCCTCCCATGCACATTCCTGGATCCTGTCCAAGAGGAGCTCCACCTGCAGGCCTTCAAGGGAGGCAACCATCCCTCTTTTTTGGGGGGGGGAGAGGGCCTTAGAATGGCCACCACCCCCCTTTCCCAGTACCTACTCTAGAAAGATCCACATTCCACCCCCGACATCCATGATCAGCAGAGCAATGGGATACACAGAGGATTCAAGGAAGGAGGGACAAGGTGAAAGGAAGCCAGGACCCCAAACCATCCTTGGTGCAACACCAAGAGGCAAAAGGGTGGGGTGGGGGGGTCAGTTTTACTCCACCCTCCCTTCCAACACCTTGAAGGAACCTCTGGGACTAATCTTTCTAGAAGTGAGAGGTTGGGGGACACAAAGAAAAAAAAAGAGGAACATTTCTTCCTCCCAGTTTTCGGAAACTAAAAGGCTCTGTTATCCTCCAGCACCCCACCAAGAGTCTCTAATCTGGAAATTTCAAGCTTGACCTTGCATCGGGCAGATGGGAGCGGGGTGGAGAATAAAAGGATGATGCCTCTAAGGTTTCTATCGATACAGAAGGAAAAAAAAGGGCAGGCAGAAGTAGCGCCGGCAGCCCAGAAGGGAACATTTGAAGCCAAGAGCTTCGATTTGTATGACTGCAGAGGTGATCACGGAAGCCAAGGGGGAGAGAGAGAGCTAGCCACCGACCCCTCCCGCCTCCAGCAAGACACATACAAAAGCAGAGGTGGGGGGCAGCTGAACTTCGCCGGAGAAGGTGGCGCCCCGCTCCCTCCGGCCCACTTGAGCGCAAAAGGAAAGATGGGCTGGTTTGAGAGGGTGCCGGATCTCTAGGGTGCAACCCAACCCACGCTGGCGGCCGCCATCCCGCATCCCCCAAGCGTTCCAAAGCAGGCCGGCGGAACTCAAGGGGACTCGCTTCCGAGGAGACAGGCGCGCCATCGCACGGCGCAAAGGGTAATGGGCGTGGATGAAAAAGAAACGATGAAAGGCAAAAGAGCAAGGAAATGTGCCCCCATCCCCACAACGTTATTGCCTATTTTCACCTCCCCCCCCCCCATCCGCTCAACGGGACCCTTCCATGCCCCTCCCAAAAGCATCCGATTCCCCCCCTTTTTTTTTGCAACGCCACGCGCACCTACCCCCTTCCCGCACCCAACCACGCGCACGCCCCCCTTACCGTCACAGTGTTGGGCGAAGCCTTCAAGAAGTGAAAACGGGAGACAGAGAGAGAGAGGGGAGCAAAAATAAAATAAATGAGGGGTGCTGGGTCTTTCTGGGCCCCCCACTACAAAAAAAAACTTCCTCGAACTAAGACGCAATGGGGCGCTCCAGCCCGCCCCGCTTTGCCGGCCTGGGCGCGCAAAGGTGGTGATGCAAGAGAGGGCTGCCGAGCCAAAGGAAGCAGCAGCACCCTCCCCTCCCCGCGATCGCGTCTCCCCGGCTGGGCTGGCTTCCCCGGCGCCGATCCCCGAGGCAACCCCTCTTCCCTGCCGCTCGCTTTTCCCCCAGCAAATGCCGCCGCCTCCTCCTCGGCTCGCTGGCTGGCTGGCCGGGCTCCCCACCTTTGGGGCTGAAATAGGCGCCCCGCCCCTTGCGGTAGCCGCGCCACGCCGCGCCCCTATTGGCTGCCGCAGCGCCTCGGCCCACCGCCGCCGAGCGTTCTCCTCTCGCTCTTCTCGGCCTACATTTTGTTTCCTCCCATAATGCCACGAGGAAATTGCAGAACCCGTTTTCTTTTTTTTTTCTTTTTTTATTCTCCTCTCTCTCTCTTTTTTTTAAAGGGGGGAAGAGGGGTGGGGCTGCACTGGAGGGAGAGAGAGAGAGAAAAAATGGCAAATGTTTTAAAAAAAGCTTGCTTGCTTTTTTTATTTTTAGAACAGGGTGCGAATAAACAAGGCGACAGATTTTGAAAAATGATGTAATTTCCTTTTTATCTTTTATTTTTCTTTTGTGTTACTATTAGGCATCGGTATTTAATCCACTCTGCCTCCCTCCACCTTTTTTTAGGGGGGGGAATATCTACGTGCTCCATGAATAGCTCGCATCAACAGCCAGAACTGCAACAGGTGGTGTTTTCAGGCCCACCCATCCCTACATCTCTCCAGCTCTGGGAGGGCTTCACCTGTTGCATGGCTGCCTTTCAGGTTCATGGCTGCTCAGAAGAAAAGTGGAAAGGAAGGTGTGTGGGGGGGAAATAACAGAAAATTAAATAGAACGGTTGGCGTCTTCTGTTAGTTGATCCTTTGGGTTAGGTAACCACAGGCTGCAAGCCTATCCTTGCTTCCTCAGAAACAAGCCCAATGGTACTCAGTGGTGCTTACTTCTGAGTAGGCCATGGGTAATACTGTATTCTTAGTTTCCTTGAATAGCCAACAGTTGTAGCAAATAATATGGTCTGATCATGTGCTGATGCAAGGTGCATTAAGGACTGGAGTTGTTATGTGTTTCCTTCTATTTTGAAGCTGGGACTTTAAATTAAAGTCTGCATTGGTAGGGCTTGTGTTACGCCTGCTTTCTCTTCCTCAGGCAAAATATTAGGATATGCAATATTAATGAACATTTATTTTTAAAGTTGAAATAGATAGATAGGGAGGGAGATCTATTGACAGCTTGTCCTTTTCAAAGTGGTGGCTGTGTTACTCCGTGCAGGCGGATCAGATGAGAAACGAAACAAAAGCGAAAAAGCTAAAGACAAAGAGGTTGTGGCACCTGAAAAAGGCTAACTGCTACATTTTAATATGAGCTTTCCTGGATCAGGGCCACTTCCTCAGACCTAACAGAGGGACAACATGGGAAACATTTATACATGGCCTCAAGATAAAGAGACAGTGGATGGATAGTAAACACAAGTTCTAAATTGTGTGAGGTATGATAGTATTTCACACCTAGCAATGATTTAAGACCTCTGTCTGATATTCAGTTGTTTGAAGCTTTGTTCTGTAAAAAGCAACAATGGTTAGTGGGTAAAGGAAACCCAGGCTAGAGATAAAAACAACAGAAACATAATTGTGGCATTACACATATGACCATGAATTAAGAATAACCCTGACCTTTAGAGAAAGCTTTTTCTCTAAAAAGCTTTTTCTCTAAAAGTGGCAGGGGATAGTTAGAAAGGAACCTGGGCTAGTGAAAATAACAGCAGATAGACACATAATTATTGCTGTATTTTACATCTGGTAATGGCTTGACATTCGTTTCTCTCCCTGGTGCAATAAGCAAGCTGGAGAGATAAAAAAAGCAGAGAAATAATAGATTATTTAAGGTTAGCTTGGCTCAAGTGCATCATTTCTATCTTTTGAGATCCAAGAGGCGCTAGGCCATATGATTCAAAGATGAACTGGATCATATCATGACCAGGGACCCAGACAGTATGATCTGTTGTGCTACTTAAGAAGCATTTATTAGGAAGCTCTAAGGGCATCAAACACAGTAAGAAAGAAAATTGACATTAAACATACTACGCATCCCTATAAATATATTTAAACCAACAGCTGAACATCGCTGATTCACTTACTCAACAGGGGTGTCAGAATACTTCCTCAACACAGAGAAAGCTGAAAATGGCTACACTCGTAACCTAATTCATATTATTTACTTGATGGAGGGGGGAAACGGAAGATGGTATGAAACTCAAGATGTGAAACCTAGGCTTCGACAACTCCTCACTCTGGCACGTGCAACAAGCTGAGACAAAGCTAGGATGGAAATTTAAATAGGATTTATTCTTTTAGTTTTCTGTGTAGCAGCTTTGATTTGGGAAACAACTCAGCAGAATTTTCAGCCACAATAAACAATCTATACTTGACAAGTTATACATGCATAAGAGAACTTAGGAAAAGTTATATATATGTTAGAGAGAGAAAGATTCTAGAATTTACTAGCCCACATGGTCTGCCTCCCCAGAAACTAACCCACATGGACTGTCAAATTGCAGTCCAATTAGGAATTGTAGTCCAAATAGCACCCCACTCACACTAAGCCCTGTTGCATCCCATGCACTGCTGTTTTCTAAAAATTACGTCCAAGGCAGGCATGAGTGCAGATTTTAGTTTTGGACTACAGCTCGCAGAATTCTCTAGACAGCATGGCTACCGACTGCGTGAACCATGGAATTCTGGGAACTGTAGTTCAGAATTCTGCAATCCTCTAGTAGGGATGGTCAAGGAGCAGCCCTCAAGAGGATGTTGGATTTCCAAGTCCCATCAGCCCTAGCCATCGCAGTCAATGACAGGGAATGCTGGGAGTCGAAGTCCGGTGACACTATTAAGTTGCCTGCCTTTGTTGAAAGTGTTGGAGTTTTTACAACATCGCATGCTGCCTTTGGTTACAGCAACTGAGAAGGACTTTTCTTGTCTGTGCAGGAGTGACTGTCACTCTGTCTAGCATTAACCAGTTGATTATTCCCACCTCTGAATTCACAGAGTGCTGAGTGTTTCTTTCCCTCTCTTTGGAAGGCAATTGTTTTGTTTGTTTTTGATTTGTTAACAACTATAAGTACCATACTGAAAGTTTTTTTTTTATTCTTTTCCCTACAAATGTTTCAGAATGAGTTATCGAGACACTAACTGTCTGTTAATGAGAAAGGGGTGGACTGTCTGGGGAACTTGTGTACATTCTCTTTGATAAGTCTCTGTATTTCTGTTATATAGCAAAGAGGAATTTTCATCAGAAATTGAAAACTCTGGAACAGAAAGGTGCTATGTCTCTAATCTGTTCCAGCAATAGGCAACCCCATTCTTTCACGTGAACTGGCTCAAACTGGCCTGTGCAACTAGCGACCCATGAATCATGTAAGGGGAGCCTTGCGGCTCTCCAGATGGTTCTGGAACTCCCAGACTCCCATATCAATGGACTACACTGACTGGGAGTTGTACTTTTCTGGAGGTATAGCTCAGAAAGACCTGGGGAACACTGACTGACCACCCATTTCCACATTAAACTAAAATGCAGCGTACAAAACCACAAATAAGAAACCTCTTGTTCTAGCTCAGGCTAGACCAGTAAAAACCAGGCAGTTTTTCAGACTTCTGCCAGGCCACCCCCACATATAGATGTTAATCTGCATTCAGCTTGTCATGAAATTCTGTTCTCACAGCAGTTTTTCATTGGCCATGGCAGGATTCCTGCGCACGGATGCAACACTCTGAAATAACCAAAGCAACCCCAGTGCTTTAGTAGCTGACCACTCCTCCTAATCTCCCAGTTTTTTTTGTCTTGCTACGTACTTGGTTTTAGCAGTACACCTCATCAAAATGTTGTTAATACTATCAGATGCTAAAATTGTTATTCTGCAGAGATCAGCTCCCTCCCAAGAGTTTCTATAAATTCATTTTTCTGGGGTGTGGCATTTTCGTGGGCATCAGAATGCATTTTGGCTTCATGATGCACACATATAGGAACACCGGCAGACCCAGTGTTCTTGGGCAGTTGCCAAGGCTCCAGCATCTTGGCTGAAATTTCTACTGATGACTCCTTTTCCCTGCTACCACTATTTGTTGTTTTTCACACACATGCGCGTGCGCGCGTGCACGCCAATGGTTCAAATCACTGCTGACTGCCAGGTGATAGCACTTTAATTTCCTCCAAGTGGAGCTTCATTGTGGGGCACTGTGGGAAATCAAAATGGCTGCCCACCCACTAGGGCATTGTGCTCTGCTATTTTCATTTCCCACAATACCTTCAGTCTGACTTCATTCTGGAGCACCATGAGAAATGAACATGTGGATCGCAGTGTGTTAGGGCAATAGTCGCGTTAGGTTCCAAAAATGCCCAATAGACAGAGTCCTCGTGGGAAAATTAAGTGGTGTTACTTAATGCCTAGCACTCATTCAGAATGTCCCTGAAGTTTGTTATTTAGATCTTTGCAATGCCCAGAAAAGTAATTTGTTATTTTTCCTGTTGTAAAACATTTCTTTTTGTTTTTCACTACATTAATTCCCACAATTATCTTGTTGCTACTTTGGGTGTGTATGTTTAATTTAGGATTGGTAAGAAAGTGACACACAAGTTTAAAAAATCTACCCAAAATGCTATTTGTTACACTGTACACAAATGTGGATAGAAGACTGCAGAAGAAGAGTAAGTTATGTGAGGCTTTTTGCTCTAATTAAACCCTCTGGGTAATTTGGCTTTCCATTTGCTCTCTCAGGTAAAGGTAAAGGTTCCCCTTGACATTTAGTCTAGTCGTGTCCGACTCTAGGCCGCGGTGCTCATCCCCGTTTCCAAGCCATAGAGCCAGCATATGTCGTAGACAGTTTCCGTGGTCACGTGGCTAGATACCGTGGTAGTACCTATTTATCTACTTGCATTTACATGCTTTCAAGCTGCTAGGTTGGCAGGAGCTGGGACAAATGACGGCAGCTCACTCCGTTGCGTGGATTTGATCTTATGACTGCTTGTCTTCTGACCTTGCAGCACAGAGGCTTCTGCGGTTTAACCTGCAGCACCACCACATCCTTGCTCTCTCAAAATACACCTAATTTTAAATTTGAAAAGAAAGAGCTTCAATAAAATAAATATCAAAAAGAGGAAACTTGAACTTGGATTCTTCCTCTACTGTTATGTAT